ATGACAAGTTGTACTTGATTGATGAAGCCTTAAAAACTTAATCTTGTGCCATTAAACTTTTGGGGCATATTAATTCTTGGTTCTATATTACTCAAAAAGTGTTCCACAATAGAAAAAATAATATAATTAGTGTAGAAGTTGAAACAGCTCTAATCTTTTCTATATCTTTATTTTTTGCCAATCTTGTTGCTCTATGTTATGGTAAATTGAATTGATGCATTGCAAGCATTAATTCTAACAATTTCTCTTATATTTGTGTCATTGCACTCTTCATTTTAATAATCTCTACCATGATAATACTTAAAGAAAACAAGATGTCTAATATCGCTTAAGATTAATAGAAGAGAGGACTTGAAAACAAAGAAAATGCTAAGAATAATATTAATTTTAAAAGAGGATAATCTTCAACTTCTAATATGCTTATGTCTTATCAAATAAAAGAGATGATCTATTCTTAATCAAGAAAAAATAAATCTCTAATATTGTAAGTGTACTCTTGTGAATTTGTCAAGGACAAGAATTTGATAAAAAAAATAACTAAGTGAGATTTTTTTCAAAGAAGTATGATAAAGTAGAATTAAGGAAATATATATATATATATATATATATATATATATATATATATATATATATATATATATATAAAAACTACAATGGCTATTGCCAAAAGACAAAAAAATTAGCACTCTTGAATCTAAACTAGAGTAAGAAAAGAATTTATTAGAATGAAGAAGACTTCATTCTTCCTTCTATATATACTATCTACCTAGGAGATATATGGCAATGTTTTATAGGACATCCAACATGTATTGATTTTGCAAGCCACACATCTTAACTTGCAAAGCAAGTTTTCTATGTGTGCACTAGATAGTAAGCTTGTTCCACAAGCTATCCACACGTGTGATACATAGCTAACTTGTTGATCAAGTTTCTATTCTAAAAGTCAATTATAAACATATGTAAAGTCAAAATTGTGTTTATGAAGCTTCTAAGAAGCTTTTTTATAAGATATTATGAAATTAATCTACTTTTATTTACTTCTACGTAATTATATAGGTAATTATTAAAATAAATAAATAAATAAATTTGTGATAGAAATTAAAGAAGATAAGTAAATATGTGAGGTAAGTGCCAAAGAAAGATGACAAAATAATAATAAGAACGTATGTTCAAGAAGAAAATAGAATGGCTATTGCCAAAGACTAAAAATCTAGAGACTCTTCAAACTAGACTAGAAGCAAGAAAATAGTTGACAAGAGTAAAGAAAGCTTCATTCTTGCCTCCATATATACTATTTAACTAGGAGCTATATGACAACATTCTATAAGACCTCCAATATGTGTCCAATTTGTAAAACATATGTCTTAACTTACAAGATAAGTTTCCTATATGTGTGCTACATGATTAGATTGTTTCATAAGTTAGTAACATGTGTGACATGTGGTTAACTTGTTGGCCATGTGTTCAACCTATCAATTATCTATAGATATATATAAAGGTGAAACTATGTCTTTGAAGCTTCTACAAAAACCATCTATAAGATATTATCAAATTAATCTACTTTTATCTACTACTTATTTATATTATCTAAATAATTATTAGAACAAATATATATATATATATATATATATATATGACAAATAAAAAGAGAACTGCATACACAACAAAGGACTATGATGACAAGTCATAAAATAAATAGAAGAATTTGAAACTGAATACAACCAAAATTAATATATTGTGCAACAATGAAACAAAATGAAGAAACTAAAACCAAGCAACACAATTGCCTACTATAGATAAATCATTGAATATATATAATAAATGTTCCACTGCCTTGCTTGAAGTAAAACACAAAAGTAACATTGCAAAATTGTTCATGAATACACGTTGAAGGGAGATGTTGGAAATATCCAACCCGCATTCATATTTGTGCAGCAACCTCACTTTTACTCTCAAATTGATGCCATCATGTTGTAACACCTTACTTCCTACTCGCAAATACTACATACATTGAGAAGAATTGGATTATGTGCTCTGTACATCCCATTTCTCCACACCAACAGCAATAGTAACCTTGCCACATTGACATTAGGGTTATATAAAGGTTTTTACTAGTTACCACAGCAAGGAGAAAACATTTGTATAAAGTATCACCTCATCAAACATACTTGTAAGTTAAGTGCATGAGTTTTGCAACAATACATACATATACACAAACATGCACACAAACATATTATATATATATATATATATACATATATAGCTAGAAACATGTGTGTTCTTTTTGAATCTCAAGCTAAGGGAGCTGTGCACAAAGAGCAGCATGTAGGTAACTCATGTGGTGAGAAGTCTGAGATGGATGGTTGGGTGTGTTAAGGACTGACTGATGCTCATTTCTTCTGCTTTACAGGAGGCTTTTTGTGAGGAATTAGGTGGGTCCCTTGCACAGAAGCTCCCCTGCAAAGCCTGTGGGTGAGCTCATGCACTGGTGCCAGATGTGTGTCAGCCTTGTCACCCACAGGCTTTGCATGGAGCTGCACACACATGAAATGGGTGTTTTGCTGGTGTCTCAACTGGATTGAATTGTTAAATAAGCAAGCAAACAAACAACCAATAAATGAATGAATGAGTCTAATGAGGGAGGGCATTTCGGCATGTGAAGAAATAACCGTTACAAACTAAACCAATCAACAGGGTGAAGCAACTCTAATTTGGAATACCTTCAATGCCACAGCTTTTCACTTGTGTGATGTGTAAAGGTTTCAATAGAGTTGTGCATAGTATATACATACAAACAAAATTTGTACTAAATGTTTTTCTTTTTCTTTTTCTGTTTTTAATTTGAGTTTGTTTACTTTGTGACTGTGTTTATTTTGCTTTATTTAATTCTGGAAAATTTTATTTGATTTGAATTGCAATGTTATTATAATTATAGTTATAATTATTATTTTGCTTTGTTGATTGAAATGCAATGCTGTGATTATACTTAATGTTGATCGTTGCATTGTTAATTATTTGACAAGCAATGAAATCCAAAACTTGGATGTATCATATTTTGATTAACAGTGGGGATTTGATGTGGAATTGAAGTTAACGAATAAATAAATGAATAATACTGTTATGTGTAAATAATACTGTTAATTCTTCAATTATTAAGTTGGATAAGTTTTGAATTCTATCATTAATAAAATATTTGAGTTAAGAAATTCATACAAAAACTTTTATCTATTAAAAATCTTTAAAATACAAATATGATATAAATGGTGTCTTTTACATTTGTTTATTGTCTACAATTTTAGTTTTAGGATTAATTTTCCTTGTAATTGGTACACCTAATTTTTTTAAAAATCGAGGTAGTTCATAGAATAAATCCAAATTCATTGATTAAAGAAAAGAAAAATGTGAGACAAATGCCTTGGGCTTTGAGAGGAAGTACTTGATGATGATTTTTATTTATTTATTATAATAGTCATTACAGAAAAGGTCCCAAAACCTTGCAACACACCCAAAGGCCAAAAACTCAAAAGTTTCTATCACATTAGGATCGAAAATTGCAAAAAAAAAATAAAAATAAAAATAAAAAATGAAAAACTAATGATATTTAATGAAATTTAGAAAAATCTTTATACTACTATCTCTAATTGAAATTGAACATGCAGTATGATATAAAGTTGCCACATACAATAAATGAGTTAAATTTTTGCATGAAAATATATTTCTAAACAATAGCTTAAAATAAACTTTACCATATAGCATATCAAAATTGAGAATAGTGACTAGAATTTAGATGCAATCCACAAGACATTTCTCCACACTCAGAAGACAAATATGTCTTGAAAATGTGAAATTAACTAGACCATTGTTGTGAAATCACAAAGACCATTCTTGTGTGCAAGCACACAAGTTACCTCTAGTACAGAAAAAGTTGGGACTTGTACAGAAAAAGTTGGGACTTGTACAGAAGACAACTTCAAAGTCACAAAACAAAGGACCTTGAAATGTCATTTCATTAGCCACAAGGTTTTGTGGGGTTCACACAAAGTTTGCTTGTGACCAAATTGGGAGAGAACTTCACAAAAGATGCTATGTCTTCAAAGTGAGAGTTTTCTCTAAGTTTAGATGAAATTCACACAAAATTAAAGTAATTCAAAAAAGCAAAAAAAATCCTATTGAAGATGTTGTAATGTTGCTAATTTTTTATATAACAAAAACATATGTATTAGTAGACCATATTTTATTACATAGTGTGAGTAGATAGAAATAATGGTTCTTGTTAATTCTTTTGATGACAAAAATGCGTAAAAAATCTATCTTAGATTGTAGTATAAAAATGTTTTTTCTTTTTTTTTTCTTTTTTTTTTTTTTCATAACTACATATACGTGATACAAAATTATCAATATATGAATATTTTTTATTTCAAAAATAATCTATAATTTATATTATATAAAATATTTATGGATGGATTTTATTTATTATTATTTTTTTTCTAATGCTTTTTAATTTTTAATTTCTTTTCTTAAATAAATCAATCCTACAACAAAAATGAGCTATTGCATTGTAATACTTTTATTGAAGAATATGGTGTAGAATTTAAGTTGTATATATATATATATATATATATATATACACATACATACATGCACACACAAAAGAACAAGTTTCATCCAGGAACAAATTCAATAAATATATAAACAAAGAGCATTTTCGATAAAGCTTACAATTTTAAGAGAAAAACATTAAGAAGAATTGATTTGAACTATCTCTTTGCGTAGTGGCACAAGCTTTTACTACTACATGTTACTTTGTGTGCATATATTTATACACGCCGCAAATGTACACATACACATTCAAAGAATTACACTCGAACTATGTTTCCTTGCAACTTTTAATACTTGAGCACAAATCCCTTGCACACTCCATCTTAAAAACATTGTCCCATTACATCCATTTATATTTGAATCACCACTCACTCACCGAACAGAAGGAACGACAACAAATGTCACAGAAATCAGACTTTTTATTTCCCGAGTAAAATTTTCCAGCAGTACTACTGCATTGATCATCGTTTCGAAGGGTAAGTCACATATTATTGAAAAGAAAGAGGGGATGGTGAGGCAATCCTCGCGATTCGGCGCCCCCTTTCGATTCTCCATGTTATTGATGCATTCAGTGGTTGCGTGTGATCCTTATCACTCTGCAAACAGATCTCGCGTTGGGGGAAACGTGGACTGATCGAGTAGCGCTGGTTCTAGTGGGTACTCAGATGGATTTTGCCTGCGAGCTGAGCGCTCGCGCTCTGCTCGCTGACACTAACCGTGAACGTCATGACATCGGCAGGGGTGCTGATGTCGGTGATGGACACGTCGGTCGCGGCGCCGTTGTTGGCCTTGGTGGACGGATTGCTAGTGGGGGTGATGCGCCTGTTGTTCTTCTGCCCCGGGAATGGGTCCCCGCTGTCGCCACGGTTCTCGTTCCGCTCCAGATCCCTCTCGCCGTCGCTCTGAAGCAGCGCCACCTTGTAGCCTCTCGCTTCGTTCGTGTTGTCCTCTACCGAATCGTCGATGTGCCACACCAGTAAGCCTCCCGCGGGCAGATCCTTGTCGCGCCCTTTCAACTGGCGGTTCTCCACTAGGAAGTACTCGCTCTGCGGGGCGCCGTTTTTCCATAACTTCAGCACCTTGTGCTCGTCCTTCACATCGGGGAGAGATATTCTGAAACAGCGCAATCCAACACCTCAACCCCATCAACGTACACAGACATAATGTTACAGGTCTCTTTCCCTGTCAGTTGCTGGCTAAGCACAATTCTTTAAATGTATTCTGGTACCGGATGGAAGGAAGGTCATGAGGGAGCAATCTTACTTCTGCGTTTCTGTGGGCGTGATAACCTCCACCCACCCTTGGTCCACTTTGCACCACGCGCACGGCACCGAAGGATTGTTCTCGTTGCCGTTGTAGCTCCCGGCGGCCATGAGGCACCAGTCGCCGATTCCCGACGAGGTATAATCAGCGTCATACAGATCTGGCCACCCGAATGCGAGGTGGCCCAGCTCGTGTGCACACACTCCGAGCTTGCAATCCCCTGGGACGGTAAGATAGGAGTAGATCTGCGTGCCGTCGGCTTGGTAAGCCCCTTGGTTGATTACCCACTTGTGAGACCAGATGTCGTTCGGCTGGCTCGTCCTCTCCGCGCCGCTTCCCGCGTGAATGATCACGAATGCATCGACGTAGCCATCTTTGTCGTTGTCGTATTTCGAGAAGTCTATATTTTTATTTGCGAGGACTGCAGCATCTCGTGCCATGACCTGCGCATTTGGAGTTCGATCGCTCAGCCCATTCTGCCCGTTGGCATAGTAGGAAATGGGCCGGGGCATGCGCAGTGGCCCCACAACCTCACCCTGGATGCTCACAGCGCCGTTGGAAACGTCGCGGTAGTAATCTTTCACACTGTTGGTGTTTTCCTCGAACCACAGCTTCTCGAAGTGATCCTTCGTCTGACTTGAAGAGAACTTTTTGTCCGAAAAGTCTACCATGATCACCGCAACGTTCACAGCGCCCCGCAGGGGTGCTCGTTCCGCGAGCTGAGCTCGTAGGGGGGTGCCGGGACTGAAGGTGCTCGGGGGTCGCACCACGCCATCGTTGAATCCCGCGGGGCGCCTCTCGACGGGGCGCAGAACCTGGCGCAGGATGGAAGCCTCCGGTGCAAGACTGTTCTTGATCTGCTCGTACCGCTCCAGAAGCTGCTGCCGCACCTCCGGAGAAGGAGCCACTAGGCAGCGCTCCTCGTACGATGCAATAACAGTTGGCTTTGTCATGGTTATAGAAATCTAGCTATCGCAAGTTCCAACTCTACAGCATCAAACTCGCATGCCAGGCAGTTCTCTTTCGTGTGTGATCCTCCGTTCCAGGTGTTCTCCCTTCTCTGCATTTCAATTTCAATTCACTACAAAACCTTAGCAACAGTTTGTTCGGACTCACTTTCATTTTTGCATTAATTCATATCACACATGCAGCAACCCTCTTCACCGACTTCCACTAGATTCTGTAATTACACCCTCATACCGACGTCTAGGCTATGGTTCTACGTATCCCGGAAGTCGACTGGGACCATCAAATCCGCTAAAAATTGACTGATTTCGAGGTTAGCTGAGTAAACATGATGATGGATTCCTTCCAGATGCATCCAGTCCGCATTCCAGTCTCAATTCTCATGGCTTCCCTCCTCCCAACTTTCGTTAAAAGCCGCTAAGTAGAGATTTCAAGTGCGTGACAATCTTATCAAAATTGTTACCCTGCACAAAAAGGATTGCAATCGAAACCTGCCAGTGATGAAGTGAGCGCTTGATCGCGGGGAAGGATAGTCGCGCTCCTGAAATGCTGCTAGAGAATGTGGTGAGCACTGGTCTGGAGATAGTAAATTTTATAGTGGGCTCAGTTGTAATTCATATCGAGCTCGTGAGGGTGCTTTCCAGCTTTTCCGACAACCCCGGCGCTTTGCTCTGGCTTCACTCCTCTCTCTCTGCTTACCAAGCTTCCGAAGGCTGCAAGTGTACGTCTGTCGTCGCTGACCTAGCAGAGGGTTCACTATTATCAAGTCCAAGCTATGAAGTATAATATTCAATGTTTCGTAGCCTTAAGTAAGAAATAGTTTTTGTGACCTGACCAGCACAGTTGGGCTGGATGGATACCCGTTACGTAAGATAGGCGTTTAGTATTCTAAAGTCTTGCACTGAAGATCAGGGGCCACCCTCCCACCGCCTCACAGCGCGACGCATCATCCCTCTGGATACCGCATTATTACGCGTGCTGACTACACTCAAAGTTGCGTCGCTGGCTAACCTGGGAGACCTCGCTTTCTTCATGAGCAGAAAAATATTTAAAAAATAAGCACCATCCTGGTTCCTTCTGTCGCGAGAGTCCCATGGAACGGCCACGAATCGCACATGGATTCGCTTGCACGGAGGTCTAAGTTATAATACTCAAGCTTCGACTAGATTCTCTGTCAACCGCCTTCTTAGAAGATTTAAGACGCACCGCAGACACTAATTTTTTTTTGTAGATGAGTCGACATCCCACAAAGAACAGGCCAGTCTCTGTAACAGACAGTGCTGTAACTGATAAGTTGGAAACGTTAGCTCGTGAGCAGCCTGGTAAGCAAAAAACCTCTGTTGATGATGAGATGCTACCACAGCGGCCATGGCAAGCATTGCATGCACAAAGTGAGCATGTGCAGAGAATCATCGCTCGTCATGAGCGGTGGAATAAGACCAAAGAGGCGCATCTGAGAGAGTCCGTGTGCACGGTCCACATATCTTCTATCGTCCTGGGCAGCAACACCTTTTCCCCTGACGCGGAAGCAACAATCGATTGCAGTAGTTGAAAAATCATGCCACGGTGATGAACCTTTCCGAATTTCAAAAGCGTATTCGGGCATCGTGCGTGTTGATGAGAAGCAGACCGTGGGATGCTTCCTTGCATACCCCGGGAAACCATTTCGTTGGCGTCTGGGAGGCATAGACACGATGTATTACTCCTCGGTGCCGAGATCTCGAACATCATTCAGTGATGGATCGGAACGTTGCGGTGGATTGCTGTGCTGCATGTGTTTCCTACCCGGTCAGCAAATATTTTGCTCGTGTGGTTCTGAGAAGAATTCTGCGGAAAGTGAAATGCAAAAAAAAAATGATTCACCGGTGCTCTACTCCTCAGAGATCTCAAGGTCCTCATGCTTGCAAACTCATCAACAAGTTGGAAATTATTGTGCTCCAATGCAGAAGCAAAATAATTGACGTTTGTATGGTCTTTCTGGGAGTCAAATCCAAAAGACCTGCAACTTCCACATACTCACTTTTGATATATATCTACATCTCTCTCTCTATGCACATATATGTAGATACAAAAACCAACAGAAATTTATAAAATTTTGATTTTGGTATGTTATGTAAGTTTAGATGCATTATTTATATTTCTATAAAGGATCATCTGCATCACATCTTTTGTAATTTACTTCCTCTTCAATACATTTGCAAGATTCATTGCTTGTATTACTTGAAGCAATGCTAATTCAAGCTTTATCCAATGGAAGCTCTTGATTTGGAAGAACATGGTAAAGAACAAAGATTAAGAATATGGATTGTAAACAAGTGTCATGACAATGTTCAAATAAAATAATAACACCATGGACAAAGAATTAATAACTTGTATTATAATATTCAAAGTATTAAGCTACATTCATATATATATATATATATATATATGGTTGAAGTTACAAACACACCCTAAGTTGCCATACACACACCCATTATGTCTATACACACACCCAAGATTTCTGATTGGCTCATCCAAATACATTTTCTCTTGTCCCAGCATGGATACTGGTCCTCTCTTTTTCTCCCTTGCCTTGGCATAGGTCCCAGCCCCCTCCCCCTCTCTCTTTCTTTCCTTTGTGCGGGTCCCAGCCTCCCTCCTTCTCTTCCTTTCCCTGACATAGATCCTACTGCCTCTCTTTCTTTTCACAATGCGAGTCTTGGTCCTATCTACTGCTTTGGAGTCACTGCTTCCTTCACACTCTAGTACGCATTGCTCACTGCATTCACTGCTTGTTACAACAAAGCGCTTGTGCTGGAAGGGAGACAATGACTTGAATAAGCTGGCATTTAAATTTTAACTAACTTGTATTAGATGAGTCAGAAATGGTACATGGTTGATCTTGTTAAGTGATACTTGTAGTTAAGGATTGGACACATTCATTGAAAATGTAAGTTTATCGTCTAAGGCCAAAACCGTTTTTGATTTACTTTCATTCTCTGATTAAATCTATGTGTAAAGAGTGTATATACCTACACTCATTAATGGTAAACCATGTGCATTTAAATGGTGAAAAAAATATTCAATACATGATCACTTCTTTCATTGTGTCTGCAAGCATATAAGCCTTTCAATACATTAACAATAACTCACATTCATTTGTATGCAATATTCTGCAATCCATGCCATGCAATAGAAGGTGATCCCTAAAACAACCTGTTTTTAATGTTTTCAACTCTTAAAAGCTTGTTATCTTGAGGATACACAAGCAAAAATGGATTTTTTACTCTATATTGTGTGGTGGCATTGTCATAAAACACACATGAAATAATCAAGTTGTCTACCACATTTTCATAAAACACACATGGAGTAATCAAGCTGTCTACCACATTTTCATAAAACACACATGAAGTAATCACGCTATCCAACGCTATCCTTCGCCTTTGGCACTGTGTCGGATGCAGTTTGTTTGGCTTCTAATGATTGCTTTATTTGATTCCACTTATTGCCATCCACGTCACCGGCTTGCGAAGCCTTGTCGCTAGCTGCTCTTGTTACTTCTTTTGCCTTGTCTTGCGTAGAACTGGCAGTATTGGCGGCACCTTGCTTCGCCTATTCCCATTTCTCGCCAGCAGCGCCTCCAACTTCATTTACATTGCGCTAATAAAATTAGCCCCTGCGCTATAATTATCCTGGTAGAGTTTGCGCACTTGAACTTCACGCTACCACACTTTACCTTTCTTGCTGTCCTCTTGGAATAAGTCCAACTTGGTGATCACTGTTCAACAGTACTTAAACCAACTTTGTTTTCCATGTTATTCAGTTCAGGAAAGATTAGTTTCTGTATTCTTTTGTACTTCTTTATGGTATCAAAGCCGAGCAATATTCTTAAAGTAGATGGAACGACGGGAAGCACATTGAGTAGTCAGTAGTACACGTATGGAGAGCTCGGTGATCACCACCCTGTGAACATCATTGTGTGAGAGAGAGATAGCTAGATGGTGAATCTTCATGTTGTGATTTCTAAAAACAAGATGCTGGCATTTCCAACAAATTAGAAGCTGTAGAAAACCACAATGGAGCATGTCTTTAAAAAAGAAGATTTATGGCACTTCATCAAGACCATCGACAGCGAAGACGAAAAAACCTTGAGTGGCGATACATCAGCAACTAACAACTTAGAAGAATCTGAAGCAAATAGAGAAGACGAATAAACAACCATCGAAAGAATCCACACTCTAGCAACGCGTCAAGAATAGGAGATTCTGCGTAAGAGGAAGACGAGAGCTTTGGGCATCCTTAAGTTAATGTTAACAGAGGGACCGCAGGACTTCATCTCTGATCTGAAGGATCGTGGAGCAGTGTGGAAGAAACTCCAAGACTTATACCAAACAAATACACTAGCTGATATCGTGGTGCTTCGCAACAAGTGGTCCGCGGCTCGGATAGAGGATAGCATGGATGTACTTGCCTTCATACAGCTCATCTACGGGTTGATGAAAGAACTACATGCAGCAGGACAATAAATTGATGACACCATAGCAATACATAAGATCCTTATCCACCTTCCTTTTAGATTTGATCAGTTTATTTGATTAATTTAGAATGAGAAAACAGTACCATCCATCTATGAATTATTCAGGTGACTACATGTCGAAGAGACTAACCTTAAACTTTGGCAAGGTTCTTTACATGAAGAAGCCTTGGTCATGCAAATTTGGAATGTTATTCGAGGGCATTTCTTGAATCAGAGAGGAGAAGCTTACAACCACCATCAGAGACGACCTGATGGATATTGATCCAACCCCAGCATATGCCTTGACCAAGTAGTGTGTCACTGATGTGAAGAAGCATGACACATTGCGGCAGTTTGCATTGCCCTAACACCACTGCCTTCAAATTTCTAGAGAGCACAAAGAGGATACTTCAAAAGAGGAGCTGCAGAGGCACACTTCAAAAATGAAGTCGCAAATGATAGCCTACCATCCCTCATAAACATAACCAACAAGGGAATTGAAGCAGCTTTTGTTGCTCTATCAATGGACACATCTCAAGTCCAAGATTGGGTATTCAACTCAAGAGCATCTCAACACTTCGCAAGTGACCCAAAATTATTCTTAAAACTAGAACAGAGTAGCACTCAAGGTATCATAACATTGGCCTCAAGCCAAGATCATGTAATTCAAGGGATGGGAAGTATTTAACTCCTTATGTCCAACGGTGAAATAAAAACCATTACAAATATTTGCTATGTTCCAGGACTCAATAGAAATCTGCTGTCCATTGGTCAAATCACTGATTTTGGGAACCTTATACTATTCACGAATTCCATATGTTTAGTTCTTACATCATAGAAACCATACAAGACCATAGCAGTAGGAAGTAGAGACCTAAGATTTCGGCTCTACAAGCTATCATCTCTTACTGAAAGCTTTAAGGGACACAACATAAAAGCACTGTTTTTTCTCAAGGGCAATTCACTAATGGACTGCCTCATCAAATTCAAAGCTCATCCAACAATTTCAAGTCAATTAGTAGCCTTAATATCCAAGAGAGAACCATCATATGAAAAAAATAGCTCGTCCGACTTTGGCATTCAAGATTGGAGCATATTAACTATTGCAGCTTGCAACAATTAAGTTGACAAGCACTTGGGGTACCAAATCTATCACTTATTGACAATGTATGTGAGGCATGCCAAGCTAGAAAACATACTCAAACAACAATTCGAAAACATATACAACATCAAGCCTCAAGGCCTCAAGAGATTATACACTCCAATCTGTATGGACCGATGCCAAAGCCATCCAT